TCCCTCCCTCCTCTCTCTCTCTCTCTCTCTCTCTCTCTCTCTCTCTCTCTCTCTCTCTCTCTCTCATGCTTCTGGCATTGGCGAGTGCATCGATCGGTCGAGACAGTTTGTAAGTGATAAACTGAAACCTTCCGCGTACGAGGACACCGTGTACGAGTACATATGTTTATCGTTCGTTCGACCCGACTGATGCCCGTGTGTATGATGTCAGACTCTATCTTTGGTACACGGAGTAGATGACCACGCGTGAACACTCGCGGACGTGCTCGCGTACGCTAAACTTCCTGGGAGGGAGGCGGACGGAGGAAGAGGGAGAGTAATATTGTATCCTTGGATTTCTAGATTTCCTTATGATCGTCTCAGATCTTTGACTTCTCGATCGCCTAAGATTTTTATTTTATCGGATATTCGAGTTTTCAGAGGAATTTTGCATTTCCAAAGGTAAATATTTTTAACTGCGAGCTTTTATGTTTTTAGATTTTTTTTTTTTTAATTTCTCCTTAAAGTCTCGAGAGCTTCGACTTCTTAATTTTCCTGATTTTCGTTTCATTGGATCTTCGAGTTTTCGAAAAATTTTACATTTCTAAAAGTGAAAGTATGCTTTTGAAAATTTTCCTATATATCTTAAGATTTTTAAATTTTGAAAATTTTTAAACATTGAATCAAATATTGTCTAACTTAAAGTGATACGAAATATAGTATTTTTTTCTATTTTTAGAAATTTAAGTGTCTATACTTAGCGATTGCAGACCTGTGATATGATTTTTTTTTTATTTTTATAATATCTTTAATTGTGAAGATGCCGAATGTTGTGAAGAGAAAAGAAAATGTCACTAATGAGACATGAAAATTGCATCAGAAATTACAATGATTTCGTCGATATTTAGAGAATGTTCTTCTGTGAAAGCATCGCGTAAGCGTCGTGGAATAGTCAATTAAATTTTCAGAAATGGTTATCGCTTGAGTGCGCGAATGCGTCAATGCCATCACAACGTTAGCAATCTTATCTCTCTTGGCCAGATTAATGGGGGGAGAACCTAGGAGTGCATCGATTAATTGCGATACTAAGACATCCGACGTTCCATATTCTCATTAGATGAAGGAATGCTCGGATGTGCGCGTATTATTGTTGAGGCTGTTGTTGAGATTCAGAAAAAAATTTCAATAGCTATTAGAAAAATAACATTCGCCGTGAATTCACCTGAGAAAACAACATACATATGTTAATCGCGCTCTTGAGCTTTTTATCAGTTTGCGCACACAAAACATGTGGGAAAACGTTGTCTCGTGTGACGAAATTATCGCGAGTACCGAAATAAAGCGGTTGATTAACGTCAAAAAATGCCCCACAGTGTTGATTATCCGAAGTACGTAATTGACGAATAATTGATCGGCCGTGTATCGAGCGAATCGAAATAAGAAAATATACACGGCAAATAGCCGCTTCTTTACACTACTCGCAATTATTCATGCTTCAGTCCTATAATACTTTTAGATTGTTCTCCGTATTTAAACAGCTTTTTCTTACCTTCCTGTTTTACTTTGACGTATTTTCTGCGTTTACTTTACCTTTCTTTCATCCAAGAGCAAACGTAATTTCGACATTGATCATTTTCGTCATAATTTTTCGTTTCAATAAACGTTCCAGAAAGATTGAAAATATTTCTCTGACTGATTTTTCAGTATATATAAAATGTATATTTTATATATGTCAAATTAGGTAGGTGAAACACAAAATTATATTATGTGAATTTTCCGTGAATTCTGAAATTTTTTGCAAAACTCCAGATAAAGTTTATAAATCTTTGATTTTTAATTCGTGTGTTCTTTTAGATTTAAATTCTTTTTTGATAACAACATTGTAAATTATATTCCTCGTTTGCGCAGACTTATGCATTGAGCAACAATGTATAAGTTTTGATATAAAACTATCTTTCTGAAGGAAACACTTTTTATTCACGCTATTTCTTCTTAATGTTTGAATCATTTTTCAATCTTTCCTCGTACAGAGCGTTTTAAAAGCGTCAACATTGCTTATAATTGTACCACCATTATTCAGAAGAGTGTCAAGTATAAAGCATCACGCACTATTTTTGGAACCACAGGTAAACTCTTTCAGAAAGTGGATAAAAAAAGTACGGAAAGCTACCAAAGGCAGCGTAACGCTGACGTGATAAAGAACCCGGTGAGACCATTCGATATTAATATTTGAGACACTGACGAGACTAATATTATCGATCACGTAGAAGCCCCTTTGCGTCTCGAGCTATAGTTCTCACGCGTGATCTTAGTGATACTATTAATATTCAAAATACTGAGACTGGCATCGATCGAGCGTGTGCGCCAGAAACTCTTTTCTCGGTACGGCAGTGTCGCTGTGGCGTAATGTATATCTCGAGACACCGGTCGTATGAACGTACAAGTGTACACAATACATACGTGTGCGCACGCGCGCGCGCGCGCGCGCGCGCACACACACACACACACACACACACACACACACACACACACACACACAAAGCGCATGTGCTTGCGCCGCCGCCGGATGAGTCATCGCGCGCACGTTGCGCGTTGCACGCACGATGGCGCAGAACTTCCTTTTTTTTCCTCTTTTTTTATCATTGCCATTATTGCCAATAGTCAATATCGCGCGCGAGTCGAAGGAATCTGGAAATTGTTCGGACGCAATTCTAGACCCGTAGGATTTTTAATTATTAGTTCTTAATTACGGGATTTGCGGCGCGTTCGCGGGGATTGTTGACTTGAAACTGGAGAATTCGCAAAGGTTTCGGCATCTATGAATTTACGAATACAAGGATTGCAGGTATAAAATTAAAAACAAACAAATTAAGAAATATAGGTCAAGTGTGTCAATGTATGAAGATTAAATTAAAAAAATGAATAAAATTAAAATTAAATTGAAAATTAATTTTTTTAATAGGGACTTTAATACTGAACATCAAATTTTCAATAAAGATTATTTTAAAATAAACATTGTCTTTAAGATTGAAAATGAAATTCAAAAAGTAGAAGAGATAATTTAAATTGAAATAAAACATTAAACTTCAATTAAAATTGAATTTCGTTTTAAATTTTTGCGTATAAATTATTAGAATAATATATTGGCATAATTCGTATTTAAATAATTTTATAACTTTTAAGATACTCCATCAAAATTTCATAAGTTACTGCGAATTTAATTAAAGGAATTGATTTATTTTAAAATTATATAGAATTACTTTCTATCCATGGATGCGCGAAAATGTTAACTTAAAATGGCAAAAGTTTTTCAAGGCAGATATTTTCCATTAAAAGTTGTAAAAGTTCTTTCCCTAAAGGAAGATATTTTCCTTGAGGGAAAAAAAATCATTTTTTGTACTTTTAAAAAGACAAAAAAGAGAAGAAATATATAAATAAATGCTAAGTGCTGAATAAATATTGAACGCATTCAATATTTTTACATTATATAAATTACATTATATAAATAAATTCCAATAATTATCCTCGGATAAAATTTTGGAAAATTATTTTCACGGATATATTCAACGGATAAATCTGCAAATTTTATATTTCCGAGGAAAATTATAACTTGTCAAATCTCGTTTTCCCTCTTTACGCTTTCACTTCGAAATAGATCTTTACAGTCAAAGGATCGCGCGATCTTTAAATAGACAGACATGGCTGCACTTCACGCTACTTTTCTACATCGTATTTACAAATTTTTCCTCGTAAAAAAATTACGCGGAAAAGGTGAAACGTGAATTCCGATGCGTTAGGCTTAGTATACGAGGGGTTAAATTACGCTCCTGCGCAGAGCTTCGATGAAGCCCCCGTTCTCCGCCGTGCCGGCAGCGCGTTCACCACTCTCCTCCAATGTTCTCCGCTCTCCTCGTCGCCGGCGAACTCGTCGTCGTCGTCGTCGTCGTCGTCGTCGTCGTCGTCGTTCGTCGTGGTCGTCGTCGCCGTCGTCGCGTATCGCGCCGCGCTTTGCCGAGCCAGGCTTCTCCTCAGTCTTCGTTCGCCGGCCGTTGGCAGGGGATCCCCGCATCGATCGCGCTCCCGTGGCTGTAGATCTCCCGTGTTGTACACCTCGCGCATTCGCCGTTCCCGTGGGGAGTATGTCGGCCCGACGTGAACGTCGCGGGGCCCTCCGGGCCCGCGCGATCGCGCTCTCTTGAGACCCGTGACGTCATCCCGACGATCCATCTCACATTCCTCCCTTTCTTATCCTCCTCTCTTTCTCACTCTTTCTCTCTGTCCTCTCCCGGTTCCTTGATCCCTGATAAGAATCCGCACTTGTGGATGGTATCGTGTCGGGAGTGCGTAACCGCTCTTTTGGATGTAATATCCCACGGGTTCTTTCGTCCGCTCGAACGCGTAGGCCGAAAACTGGAACGGTCGAATCGCCGTCGTCGAGTTTCTAGCCATCGGAACGGACTTCTTGGTTTCTGGACATGTAGATGCAAGGTGTGTAATCGAGATTCTTGACTTCTCGAGATTTCCAGTCACTTAGAGCCGCGTAGACGCGAGGTGTTCGCGATTGGGATGCATGTATCTCTAACATTTTTAGCTTCCCGGATTTGCACGTCGAGATTTTGTAATTCAAATGTGCCTGTATCTTTCGATTTGTATTGTCTTGAATGTGTAAGACGAGAATTGAGACACTTGGCTGCTTCGACCTTTCGATTATCCTACTCCTACGTAGGCGTTTAATTGAGCTGTAAGTATCTTCGGATACTTTCCATAAATCCTTAAACATTGCTTACAAACATGTAACGTAGATACTCTTTTAACACGAAACTCCAAAAGTACAAAGAGAAACTCGCTCTTTTTTATTCTTTAAACTTTTTTAAATTATTGGGTGTTGAGCTTTTTGATAGGATTTGATTTTTTTCTTTCCGTCCGATTTTATTAAAATCCACATTCGATATGTTTATAAGACATATATGAATTTTATAAAAATTAATATATTTTTTCAAATTTTTAAACTATTTCAGCAAGAGGCAATGTCTATTTTATAGAAATTATTTATTTAAATAATTTTGATTGTTTTTGCAGATTTAATTGTGATTATCCATATTTTTGAGTTATTTAAGTATTCGAGTCAAATAATCTATTCGAAAAAATAGACACATATTTTAAACTAGATAAAAATATATAGCTAGAGGATGATTGTATTTTTAATTGCTTGCAAATGTACCGGATGCTATAATTAATTGCTTCAATTAGTTGCTACCAAATGTATAGATACAATATAATTATGATGTAAATGAGAAATCCAATTGGAATTCTTGGTCCTTTGTTTTTTAAGCCTATACAAATTAAAAAGGAAACTAAAACGAGGATATTCCTAAGATGTATTTTTAAATCATCACATCTTTTAAGTAATAACTTTTTAACAATTAGCCGCTGATTGAGATGTCTTACAGTACCTTTATACGTTGAATCGTGTGTTGTGGATTCCTGGATTTACAATTTCTGTGTTTGCATATTTTGAAATCCTTTATGCGGTATATATGTAAATAAACGCTATCCAAAATATATCGGCAAATAGTACGATTATGGCTGGAGATGAAATAAGGAGATGAATATGAAAGACTCCGAATTAATTTGAAGAAAATTATCATTCTTTTTGAGTGAATGGGAGAACGCAGGGCGACGTATTCCGTACGATGGCAGGTGTCGGTGCTACACCTGTCCGCAGAACTGAATGCTTTAGTCAAGTTGCGAGTAGCGATAGTCCCAAACAAATATCTTTATCTTTATTTTAGACGGCATGACACTAAATTACTTTATTTACGTCGCAATCTTTTCCACGACTATCGCGCTAGTTCTCAATGACGGACTCTTTAAAAAATGCGAAGCAAACTTTCTCTTAATGTAAGCGCGCTCATTATGCCTCGTGATTTGTTTATTACGAGCATTAAAGCCACGAGCAGAAATGGTGCTTATAATTCAAGAAGAAGTTTTATTAATAAATGACATAAATACATTTCGAATTACCTTCCTGTGTAACGATGAGATTTATAATACATGAAAATAAATAATAGAAATATATTAATAATAATAAAAGGAACATATAAATATCGAGTTTTCAATTTATTTTTCTTCTGAATTAAATTGAGGAAGAAATTATAAAGTGTAACCTTCTAATTTAATTAATTCCAAGTAACGTTTTTCGGATTAAATTTTGTTTGAAGTTTGTTGCTAAAAGCGTATCGAATAAAGTATGTTTTATATTTTTATTTTTATTATTACTTCATAATTTTATGTCGTGTTTGAAAAATAACGCGCGATGTTCAAAGTTTTTTTTTTTTCCTGGATAGTTTCCAAGTTTCCAAGTTTTCCATATGTTGATTTTATGCAAATTAGCATTTCCGCTATTGATTTTTCGCAAGTAAACGTTTTCGACTTTCTCTATTCTGTTTGATAATGCTTCTTTCTACGACCGCATTTGCGAGAGATATCGATAGGTGTTGCGAGTGTATCGGGCCCATCGCTAGTCGCGGGGTCCCACTTGCCGCTCGAAGCGTCGAATTCCACAGCGTTTACTCATACGAAAGAACGAACTCGAAGACTTCTCGGGGCCGGAGAGAAACTTCGATGGCGGAAGAGAAGTGGGAGAGTGGTCGGGGCAAGAGAAAGAGAAAGAAAGAGAAGAGAGAGAGAGGGAGAGAAAGAGAGAGGGGGGGGGGGAAAGAGTAACCGATGATTTCCCGTTTGATCGGCCATTGAGTCGAACCGAATATTTCATTTGATTCGATCTAATTCAAAATCCCAGCTTGTCTTGAGGACTTGATTGAAAAATATGAAGAATAGCGATGGTGACGCTGCAGGTTTGTTACTGTAATGTAATTATTCGGATATAAATAATCGAAATCTAACGTCTCTGATATTTAACTAGATTGTGAGAATTCAGAAATCAGAATCCCTTTAAATTTTAATGATAAAGCAGCTACGCATACTACTATATCCATCTACATATATCCACGTGTTTTTCGTCGGTTTGACATATTTTTGATTTTTTATTTTTGATTTTAAAGGATGATTTTGTTAATAAAGATGAAAAATTGAAAGATCTGAAAATTGCAAAGTCCAAGGATCTAAGAATCTAAGTCGGAGCGACACGCGAATAAAGTACGCGGTGTTATTTATAAAAACAAACAAATCGCATGCTAGCAAATCCCGGGTATATCACGTAATTTCTAAGTTAGTACATCGACGCTTACAACAGATCTTTCGTAACGCTCGGGACATTGGTCGTCGTCCAACTGCCAAATTAGAATTGTAACCAACTAAAAGAACGAAATGACGCAAAGATTCGAGAATTCAAAGGCATGATAATATAAAACAAGCATTGAAAAGTTTGAATTATTTAAATCTTTCGCAAAGGAATTAGAAAACCTGAATTCTAACTAATTTTATACTTACTAATTTCATTCCACTATTAGCTTAATTTGTGATTCTTTTTCCAAAATGAGACTATTGACTTTTATGAAGTTCTGTAGAAAGAAGAAAAGAAAAATTTATTTATTATTTTAATCTAGGATCTAAATATTAAAAATCTTACCAAATTATTTTAATTATAATCTGTGAATATAGGAAAAGAAAATAAAATTAAAATAATTGATTGATTGAAAAAAGTATTTATAATAAACGAAGAAATAAAAATCATTGTTTTATTTATTTTACTTTAAAGTAGCAATTGTAGATTTTTTAAAACTTGATCAAAACGACAGCTAAAGGTCAATTTTCTCTTTATCTGTTATTTCAATATTTCTATTAATATCTTGGTTCATCAATGTGGAAAATACGGAAAACCACAAAAAATACACGAAACACGCAAACAAGGGGTCCGCGATTACTTCTATCATATCAACTGACGTAAGGAGAAAGGAGTGAAAAAAAACCTACTGACGTATTCCGATCATTGACGTTTCAGCGCCGACCACAGGACCGTGCCACGACGTAAGCACCGACGTGAACTCTAACAACTACCATCACCATCCTCATCATCATCATCATCATTATCATCATCATCACTGTGGCCACAATAAACACGACCAACGGTCTCTAGACCGAATTCCATCGTCCTCCTCGATGTCTACCTTGCTATGCTGCGAGCCAGTGTCGGCTGGCCGGCCTCGGGCCAATCTGAAGCTCGTGCTGAACCGCAGCCTGAGCGAACCAGGACCGAGTCCCTGCGCCTTTCCAGCACCGCCGACTGCCTCGCCGATCGCTGTTAACAACAACAATCACAACAACAACAACAACAACAATAACAACAATAACGGTAATAGCAATCCTATCGAACCACCTTCGATCGTGATCGACGAGGTGAACGGCGACGACGAAGACAACGACAACGTTCACCGTCGTGGCTTCCACCATCTTCACTACCACCACCATCATCATCATCACCATCTCCACCATCTTCACCATCATCAGCACCTGTCGGTGACCACGAAGCGTTGCAAACTGGAGACCGCCAGCCTGCCTACCAGTCCCTGCGCCGAGAACGGTCTTCATCGCCAGCTAGTGCTAAGCAAGACCCGTGTGATCACCGCCGATGATCTCGCCCAGCGTCTCGCGCATCTCGAGCGACCGTCCACCGCCGTTCCACCAGTGATTCTGGATTGCAGACCGTTCATACTGTACAATGTCAATCACGTGCGCGGCGCCATCAACGTCAATTGCTCGGATCGCTTCAACCGACGCAGGCTCCAGCTGGGAAAAGCCACTCTCGCCGATCTCGCAACCGCCCGCGAGGGCAAGGAGCTGCTCAGGAAGAGGCAGTTCAAGGAAGTCATAGTGTACGACGACTGTACGGACGACTTGGAACACCTGCCCGCTCAGCACCCGTTATTTCTGGTGCTCGCTGCACTCGTGGATGATGACCGGGAGCCGGCTCTGCTGATCGGTGAGTACTCTTTATCTTCTTAGTACGCACACTTTTGATACTAGCTTTTGCTAATTTATATCTTAACAAAGATGGATGGAACTTGGTTGAAATTTTTACAAAATAATCTTGTAATTATCTTGACACTGAAGCCTTGAAAAAAACACATAATTTTTTTTAGAAAAAAACTGAATATAACTAAAAATAAAAAATTTGTAATATCTGTAAAATAAAAAAATTTGACGTTCGGAGCCGCGTCAGAGCTTATTTTGAAACTGAATATTTACATTAACAACTGGGGATATATCGTGGAGGCTATTTTTGATTATTGCAACATTTGCTTGCTAGATAACAACTAGCTAGATACGATTCTTATATTATCGAATGTAGTGCAACTGATAACGGCAAGATAATGGTATCCGAAGATATCAATCGGCCCACACACATACAAGCGATACATCTTAGACAAATTTTTTAACAAGATAGAGCGAGATTGCGCATTGTTATTTGGAGATATATAACTTGGAAATTTTTATATCAGTTCAAGTCAATATAGATTAATGTAGTAAACAGAATTAAGTAAACTAACTCAATAAAGGTATTGGCGCAAATCGTTTAAAAGTTATCTAAAAAATCTCGAGATTTATCGGTACAATGAATTTTTGATCAGCGTGAAGTCTATAAATTTGAAACAAGTCATCACAACGATTCCTACACACAGACCACCGCTGACGATTGATCCTCACCGGTCTGTCCTCTATAATTTTTTTCTGATAGCGCCGAATTTGTTTACAAAAGCGAAACGGCCACGAAACATGGCGTACTGTTTGTCATCTATCCGGTCCTCTACGTGGGAGGCGAGTCTCTGGTTTTCGGAAATAACGATGATGCGAGGGTGCGCGCGCGCGCGCGCGCGCGCGAGGGAGCGATATTTCTGCCGGCCGCCAATCGCGCGTGGAAACTTTTACGTCGATCATTTTCCGCAAACATTTTTGCACTCATTATGTATTATTAATTCTATGTAGTCTCACTTCTGCACTTTTTTCCCTTGCTATTATCAAATTACAGTTTGTTTTCTTAGAAATAATATTCCGTAGCTCTTGTAAATTTCGCGTTTTTATCAGTGATCTTCTTCTTCGTAAATTTCGCTTTATTACGGAGCACTGAAATGGATTCAAGCTAAAATGAAAGACTAAGAATGGCCAAAAATAACGCGTTTAGAAAAATAAAATTTAGCAATGCAAAGATCAAGTTTGCTTCTTTATTTGTCTCTATCTTGTTTCTTTAATCACGAATATCTTCTCTTAACTGATTTATTGAAGAGAAACGATTGTTACGATTTAATATTGTTTTACATTTCTCTTTATTTCTTCTCTTTATCTGCTTCATATTTTCTTCACACATTCTTTCTTTTCGGTGTAAGCAATACTAGCGTAATTTTATTTTTAGACTAACGTAAAATCAGAAACAGCTCACGCTTGAGAATTTAAGAATGATGTAGACAATTTACAAATTTCAATTAATTAATACAAAACAATAGATTTAAATGGAACCATATTCCTTAAAAAAGAAAAAAACATCGTTCTATGGAAAATCCCTAAAAAATTCGAGTCGTGTCTATAAAGATCGCTATGGGAGATGAATCATCCCCATTCAATTTTTACGTGAATGTCATGAGATAATGGGGGTTGAAAGAGGATTCGGCGGGGAGGGCTCGAGGAGGAGAATGCGGATGGAGAGATCCGGATCGCGCGACTGCGACCACGACGACGACGGCGACGGCGACGTCGACATCGTGCTCGCGTCGTCGGTGCGTACGAAGGCGAAAGGTGGGGATCTATTCATAGGAGTGACTCACGTCGGAGATGACGCCGCGAATAGTCGGACAGATTTTGCGCGGCGCGATCTGCGCTTTCGCCGTGTTTTCGCGCAGCCACGCAGAGGGAGATGAATTATTAGCGGAACATTACGGGAGATTTGTCTAGAGTTTACACGCGCTAATCGCGCCGAATTAAATATTAAGCCTGCAATCGGGCACTCGTCCCGCTAAATATGGCCACGTGATTTTTCAGATGCGACGTAACACACAATCGCGATAACGATATCGTAAAAACGCTCTGTAGCGATAACATTTCCAAAGTTGATGGAAATAAATATATAACGTGTTTTGTGGATGTCACGTCAGTCAAAACGAAGAACAATGCATATGATTCGATGATCTAACGATATTAAAGTCTAATACTTATATTTTTAAATTCCCTTCCCCCTTCGTTCTTCTTAAGTCTCACATAAAAAATTAAAAAAAATCTAAAACTTGTTTTTACTTGTTTTAATAACTTATTATATATAGGTCATATATATTACAAAGCCATATCATTGAAAGATTATTAAAGGAATTATTGATTTATCTAAAAATATAAAAGCAATGAAATATGCAGGAAAGAAGGAAAAAAAGGAAAGAAAAATAATGTAAAATAATAATGTTATACATAGTTATAGTTTTACTTTTTCATTCTTAAACATTTTTTTTCTCCCTTTCATTATTCAACGAGAGGGATATAGACGTCATTCTTGATGTCGTGTCTGGTTATTACATAATTAGTAACGATTCGCGATCGCCTATAAACAACGAGACCGAAGGCATCGTGTGGCTCGTTTTGGCGAGGCTAATGCGCGCGTCTGGTCTCTGTGTCGGTCCCGATCGCATTTTTCTCAGACGACAACCACGACGACGACAACTACGACGTTGAAAGCATGAGTCACCGTGTATATCGACCCTACGGCATGTTTACGCTGGCTAAGCGCACGAACGGCCATATGTCAAAATCACGATTGCATAACGTATCCCTTGTCGTCGTTGCGTCTCATTCTCTTTCGGAATATCTAGACGTGACTCAGTTGCGCGGATTATGAGATTTTCCTATCACCTATCGACCTTAACCCTTTCAGGTGCGCCCCCGTTCTTCCGCGCTCTTCGATCATTGCGCGGCTCACTCCGATTTTTGCTCGAGAAAGAGGCTGAGAAAAATTGCTCGAATAAAGAGCGAAAAGAAACGAAACGGAACGACGTTGCATCCGATTGTAAGATTGCGTCTATCATTGACTTGTTATGTTGTACTCCTCTTGTTTTCTGGAGAATCTCAATTTTTTTAAATTGAATTATTTTTTTAAGATAGAAAGTAAGATTGTTTCTTTAAAATCATAGAAAAGAAATTACGAATACGAGACATTAAAGACATATTAATATATAAATAATTTTTAATAATTATAACCTAATATTAATAAAGTGACAATAACTTAATTGATGACTAATAATACATTTGATAATACATTTCATTAATTATATATTAGGATAACGATAAAATATGCATAAAATTAATAATGTTTTAACTAATGTTATAACTAAATTAATAAGATTAAGATAAAAAATATGAATGATACAAAGTAAATTTATATAAAAAATATATAATATTTAATAAACATATCTAAAAGTTTATTCTAAAAATTTTTGATCGTATACTTATACATTTTTATCACATGAGCTAACGTTCTGAAGTATTTAGAGTCAATAAATGAAGCCGAACTCGAAGCTTAATGAATTAGTCATCGCTCTCTGAAGCCGGGGGTTGCTGTATTTTTTCCATTGTGCCGCTTTTTCATCCCCCTTCCGTTCCGTTTAAGGGTGCAACGAAGAGGTGGTCTAATCGAGGGGGAGCGTGCGCCTCAGAACAACGTACAACGCATCTGGATCAGCTGTCGATGACGATTATTACGTATGAGTCATCCGATACACAGCTCGCTTTAAAATGTATCAATGACTAACGCGCGTCCAGCTCACAATCGCTCCAGGGTTCCTCGCCCCGTCACCCTTCAGGTCCCTTTGTATCGGCGTGATTCAAGTACTACTAGGATCGTGATGAAGGATCTAAAAATACGGGGGTGTTCGATAACTCTAGCCGTGTCTCTCGTAATTACGCATAAGCTCATTTCCACGGTATCGACGAAAACACGAAAGGGTGTTTTGATGACATAAGCTAAAGAAAATTTCAGAAAAACACATCGGGATGCTTCGACATAAAA